ATCTAAAATACCTACTATAATGCTTGACTTTCTAAATTTCATGTGTAGATATTATTCAGGTAAGATGTAAGTATTGTCCAAATTTTATTTGTTTCAAGTAATTGCACTGAAATAACTACATTTGCATCAATTATATGGCAAAAATAAATACTTATCTTGAGAGCAGTAACAACTAGTATTATGTTTATTTAAATACAGTCTGTTGGATTTCTCCACATTAGGTTATCTTTTTTCACTGTTGGTGGGAGTGTTAAGTTGGTACAACCATTATGAAAAACACTGTGGAGGTTACTCAACAAATAGAAAATATGGTCAGATGTGGTGGCTCACACCTGTTATCCCAGCACTTTGGGAGACTGAGGTCAGAGGATTGTTTGAGTCCAGGAGTTTGAGACCAGCCTGGGCAATATAGCAAGACCTTGTCTCCAGGAAAAAAATAAATCAGCTGGACATAGTGGCATACTCCTGTAGTCCCAGATGTTTGGGAGGCTGACACAGGATTGACTGAGCCCAGGAGGTTGAGACTTTGGTGAGCTATGATCATGCCATTGCACTCCAGCCTGGGTGACAGAGTGAGACTCTGGCTCAAAAAAAAAAAAGAAAAAGAAAAATTTGACAATAGCACTACCTTATGACCTAGCAATCCCTCTGCTGAGAATACCTAAAGAAAGTAGAGCATCTTGAAGAGATACCTGAGCTCTTGTGTATGGAAGCAACTTATGTTTGTCCGTCAGTGAATGAATGAATAAAAATTGTTTTATGTAAATAATACATATGAAATATTATTCAGTCTAAAAAAAAAAGAAATACCGTCACTGCAACAACATGGATGAAACTGAAGGATATTATGCTAAGTAAAATAAGCCAGACACAGAAAGACAAATACTACATAATCTCACTTATTTGTAGAGACTTTAAAAAAGTCAAATACATAGAAACAGAGCATAGAATGGTGGTTACCAGGGATGGCATGGGGAGGAAAAAGAAACAGAGAGATGTATATTAAAGTGTACAAACTTGCAGTTATGTACATTGAATAAGATCTAATAGCATGAAGACTATAGTTAATAATATGGCCTTGTACACTGAAAATTTATTTGCGAAGAGAGTAGATTTTAGGTGCTCTTACATTCACAAAAAGGTAAATGTAAGGTGATGGTTATGTTAATCTTTTTGACTTTAATAATCACTCCACTATGCATATGTATTTCAAATCGTTATGTAGTACACCTAAAATATATAGAATAAGAAAAAATGGAGATAAAATCTCTAACTAGACAATGATAATAAGCTGGCATACAAGTAATAGTTCAGTGGAAAATTATCTTAATACAATAAGGAAAGGTGTAACTAGAAAACACCAAATCAATTATTCTCATCTATGCTAAATACGTGGGAGAGAGAAACGCATTAACATAAAATTGTCAATAGCGTCTACATTCCTGGAATAGAAATGTCTAGGTCTACATCTACAAGCCTTAAGAATTTAAAGTAGTCATTCACATGATTACTCTTCTCAGACGATTACAATTGGGTCAATATTTACCAGAGAAAAATAATGGGGGGAGAAAAGAGGAACAAATTTAACACTTTCAAATTATTTACTTTACTACCACTTAAAAATTGTGTATACCAAGCTATTCAGACATTTGATAAATTGACAAGAAATGAGGCTGAGTACCCACAAAAGAGACTTCAGATCTACACAATGTCTATAGAAACTGGCAATGTATAAGCTTATAAAATGGAATAGAGACATTTATCACTCATTAGCTGCAAATATCTGCTCATCTGTTTGGTTGTTCTATGTGCCATCTTTTATATTAAAGTGTTAATTCATTATAAGTTGTCCATAGTCAATGAAAATTTGATGAGCTATAAACAAACTTACAGAAAAAAAGTACATGGTTACATGAATATAAGATTTGGTGTTGATTTTCAGGGCTTTTCACAGACATTTTGGGCTCTGAAGCATCCTTCTTAAAGCCTTTAGCAGTGGGAAGGTCTGCATTATTTGTACCCAGCAATATCAGAAGTAAATCCATTTGTTAAATGTATAAAATTGTGGCTGGCTTAACACAGTGATATTGAAGGTAGTATACTTGGGCCCAATTCAATTGCAACTAAGCGTAGTAATTAAAGACGTATGTTAACTTTAAAGAAGGAAGCTATGGGTATGATTTTAACACCCTCATATTTCTGCACAGCCCCCAGGCCATCATGAATGGAGTTTGCAGGGGAAACAACAGCATATTTAATGGTATTTGTAACTTATTGTGAATTATAATTTTGTGAAATATTGGAGTTTAACAACAAAACTCATGTTGACAGGCAATACATTTTAAAAAAGATATCAGGCAGTAGAATCTGGCATATAACTTCTTTAAGTAATACAAAGGTAGCATAAATGAAAGACTGAAATAAAATAAAATGAGCTATAAATCCCCTTATTATTATCTTCAGCTGAACGTAAATGCTATAACCCAGCTTAAAAATATATATAATTGGAAGCAGCTAACCTGAAAGAAGAAATGCTCTTTTTATTTAAAGGATTAGTTTTGCAAATTTAAAATTTGAATTTTAATGATACCTATCTTTAACAACAAGAAACTTCTTTTCCCAAAGCCATTATTTTTGGTTGTGTATTTTTTGATATGTATACTTGTTAATGGAAATTGTAAGGGAAAGTCGTTCAGAAAATACTAATTTAGGTTTGAGAAACATATAAAAATATTAAGACTGAAGAAATAATATAATAATGTAATAATATAATGTATTGTATGATTTTATGTGGAAAATCTGTGGAGACATGTTTTTGCAGCATATTTGGAGGATACACTAGTACTTAATTATTTCTCCCAAAAGAGAAAACTTGGATTTCATGCAAATTAATAAGACAGATCTTAAAGCAAGTAATTCAATGATTTGTCTAATTGTTCATTCAATAAATATTTATTGACATACTATGTGCCACGAACTGTAACAAGACAGAAAATAAACACAGATGAACAAAAACTACCCAGCCTGGGCCCTCAGGGAGATTTATCTGTGAGAGAAGAATGATATAGACAGAGTTGGGACAGAGTATGATAGTTCCATGAAGGAAGTAATATGGAATACTGAAAATCAGGAGAGCTCCAGCTTCTGATGTTGCAAGCTGTGGGCACTTTGACTTCTAGTCAGAAAGAAAACTATAATCAAGAGATTGAAACAAAAAATAAAAAATAAAAATAAAACTCCTCTCTAGCATATTGTACTTTTTTTTTTACTATACCAGCCCACTAGTCATCAAAATTTGAACAAACCGTTGGAGTTTTAAACAGAACATAGCAATCAATGTCAGGTTTCAGGGTTCTTGCTAACATCATAGAAATAACTTAGGCCATTGATCCACCATAAGAAAATTTCCACAAGCACCACTGTTAATGTGAAAAGCATTTTCCCCCTTTGGAGCCAATAATTAATGTCTTTAAAATGTCTATTGGGAATGCATACCTTTGCTTAATAAAACACTAAAGGTACATTGCTTAGCGGTGCCTTTCCAATCATAGTGAACTAAGACTTCAGCCTCTCCATTTTAATTTACATATCTTCTCTGTCTCTCTCTCTCTGACTTTCTCTCTGTGTGTCTCTCTTCCCTCTGTGTCTCCCTGTCTCCCTTTCTCTGTCTCTCTCTCTCTCTGTGTGTGAGACTCTCTTCCTTCTCTGTCTCTTTCTCTGTGTCTCTCTTTCCTCTCTCTTCCCTCCCCTTGCTCTTTCTCTCTGTCTCTCTTCCCTCTGTCTCTCTGTTCCCTTTGTGCCTCTCCTCTCCTCTCCCCTTCCCTCCCCC